TACATGACTACTATAAAAACCATGATGGACCTTTGTTGACAAAGTAATGTCTCTGCTTTTTAATATGCTGTCTAGGTTGGTCAGTGTGAGTTTTACACAGTAGCACCAACTCAGTATCCATAGAGAATTCAGCTTTTTGACACTCTTATATATCTTGGAGTAAAATCAGTTCTTTGTGATAACTGTGTAGACATTATATTTTAACTCTACTGTGCTGTTATGTCCTGACTTTTTTAAAAAATTATTTTAATTGGAGGATAATTACTGTATAATATTGTGATGGTTTTTGCCATACATTAACATGAATCAGCCACAGTTATGCATGTGTCCCCCCATCCTGAAACCCCTCCCACCTCCCTCCTCACTCTATCCCTCTGAGTTGTCTCAGAGCACCAATGTCCTGACTCTTTAACAAACTACATCCTAACTCTTTTCCTCTCTAGAGCCTGACACTGGTCCTCACTACATCCTGACTCTGGCTTCCAGTCTTGTTAATTTAAAAATATTTGCCATGGGAAAAAATGGACTACTAATATAAAATAATCCCTTTTTAAAAAAAATTACTATTTCTTGACTGTATATTTCATTTAAACAATGAATCAGCTATTCTCTTTCCCAGATACTTACTTTAACAGGCTAATTTTAATAAGTGGAGAAGCTGCAGTATTTGGAGGTTTATTGGTCCATCATGTGTCAATCATAAATATTATTTTTACTCTGTCACAGAATGATTATCCAAATGCAATCTATGGAAAAGATAAAAATCGGTTACCATGGTCTTATTGGTGATGGACAGGGAAGCCTGGCATGCTGCAGTCCACGGGGTCACAGAGTCGGACACAACTGAGCGACCAAACTGAACTGATGGTCTTCTTAATGTGAGTATAAACCAAATGACAAAGCTAACCTAAGAAACACATCATTGCATCAAAAACAAATCTTTGAACTTGTGGATCCAGTGGATCAATTTTTCTTGTCAGATAAAAGAATGAAGCAGTGATAGTGGTGATAAAATGTACCTTTGTCTTTCCTTCGAAGTAACTGGTTGCTTCTATTCCTGAAGTTCTTTTGTATCTACTCAATGTAATAAACTTCCTTTAATCTTGGATGATGAATAGCACCTTAATCACAGGTTACACAAATGGGCACTGTTTCTTTATGGTACTTGACTTCAATTCCTTTTCCTTTTGCCACCCTAGGCTTATTGACATCCATGGTTCATGATTTTTTGTTTCTTTCAAATGCAAAGGCAGCTGTGGGGTGGGATCCTTTGAGATTAACTTAACTTCATTGCATATCAGAAGAAAAGTATGTTCACCTTTTGGAATTGAAGGGCACAGACAATAAAATGAGTTTCTTCATTTATTTGTTAGTAACCAGAACCATTGTCCCCTTCCAGCTCCTTTCCCAGCTCCTAATAATGTGCTCTTTAGAGCCAAGAGGGCTTCTTTTGAAGACTTTCCTAATGATGGGAGGCGGTGGTTTTTCTCATTCCTTTTCCTTACTTTCCCCCAAATCCAGAGTGTATCTTTCTACCAACTTAGACTAGTTCCACCTCTGAAATTCTTGTCAGGGAAGCAGGCTGACACCCTGTCAGTGCTGTGCTGTGCCTTGCTTAGTCACTCAGTTGTGTCCGACTCCTTGCAACCCCTTGGACTATAGCTCACCAGGCTCCTTTGTCCCTGGGATTCTCCAGGCAAGAATAATGGAGTGGGTGGCCATTCCCTTCTCCAGGGGATCTTCCTGACCCAGGGATCGAACCTGGGTCTCCTGCATTGCAGGCAGATTCTTTACCATCTGAGCCACCAGGAAAGCCCATTTAGTACTGTGAAAGTGAAAAGTGAAAGTGAAAGTCACTCAGTCGTGTCTGACTCTTTACGATCCCATGGACTACATAGTCCATGGAATTCTCCATGCCAGAATACTGGAGAGGGTAGCCTTTCCTTTCTCCAAGGGATCTTCCCAACCCAGGGATTGAACCCAGGTCTCCCGCATTGCAGACAGATTCTTTACCAGCTGAGCCACAAGGGAAGCCCATTTAGTACTGTAGCAAGTGCTAAATAATCTTACTAGAAGAACATATGCTTTATGATTAAATTATCATAGACAAGGTGCTGGAGCTCTCTCCTATTTAATCTCTGCATCTGACCTTGGATGCCTCTCCTCTTTCACTTTTCTAGGACCCCACACACCAATTATGCCTACTTTCTTTTAGTTACGCAACTAAATTTTTATCACCAGAATCCTTTCCCATCATTATTTCAACATTACTGTCACTCAACGTAATCCAAACAAAGCAAAACATAGCCCACTTTTGACCTATATTTCCTCTACTGCCTTGGGCTTCCCTAGTGATTCAAACAATAATCTGCTTGTCAATGCAGGGGACACAGGTTCGATCCCTGAGCCGGGAAGATCCCACATGCTACACAGTAACTAAGCCTGTGCACCACAACTATCGAGCCTGTGCTCTAGAGCCTGGGAGCCATAACTGCTGAGGCCACGTGCCACAACTACTGGAGCCTGTGTGCCCTGGAGCCCAGGCCGAGCAACAAGAGAAACCATGGCAATGAGAAGCCAGCGCGCTGCAACTAGAGGGTAGCCCTTGCTTGCTGTGAGATAAAGCCGTGTAGCAATGAAGACTCAGCACAGCCAAAAATAAATAAAAAGAAGATGAAGGCAGGACTAATTATGGGCAGAATCCCTAACATGTCCACATATTGGGATTTCTGTCAAGAAGGGCTAACCCATTTTCCTTCTCGAATGGGAGATCTAAGAAAAAACAATCTCTGGGATTCCTAAATGTTGTAGAAGACTTTCTCTTCTCTTTGATACTCCAGGTCCATAGAGACAAGCCAATCAGACTTCTGTTCACTTTTTTTTTTGGTGAGGAAAGGGTTTCCTAGGAAACACGGAAAGTGAAGTGAAGTCGCTGAGTTGTATCCGACTCTTTGTGACCCCACACGGCCTGTAACCTGCACCAGGCTCCTCTGTCCACAGGATTTTCCAGGCAAGAATATTGGAGTGGGTTGCCATTTCCTTCTCCAGGGGATCTTCCTGACCCAGGGATGGAACCCAGGTTTCCCACGTTGCAGACAGACGCTTTACCCTCTGAACCACCACGGAAGCCCTCAAGAAACACTGAACTTCCCCCTAAAAGTAGGCCAGAGTAAATAACTCAAACTTTAAATGCAATAATCTTGAAACTTTACATCTACTATTAAAAACAACAGGGCCAAAATGGAGTCACTTATGCTAAGCCCTACATTTTCTACTTTCCCAGAAATAGAATCTTAAATGAGTCAGTCAGGAATTACCTTGTCCCTACTAGGGATATAATCTTCCTGATAGACCCCAACTATCCTCTAAAGGAAAGAGACCTTGGCACAACCAATGCACTTTTTGCTGGTATAATTTCTCTGTCCTGCCCTCTTCTGCCCAGAAAAGTCTTTCATTTTGTATAGCTCTTGGGAGCTCCTTTTTACCTTTGAGATGGGATGCTGCCCAATTCATGAATTGTTAAATAAAGCCAGGAAGATCTTTAAATTATACTCTGTTGAATTTTGTTTTTTAATGCAACTAATCTGAATGTCATTTTTTCCCTAAGTCATCAGTTTAACATGAATACTGAAAAATAATCGATTGACATGATCTTTGGAGTTTGCTTTAAAATATTCCAATTAAGGAAAAAAAAATGGTTGGGAGTGGTAGTGAAGGCAGATGAAAGAAAAATGTTGGTAATTTCTGAAAGTCTAGAAATTTATCACACTTTTGAGATTTTCTACAACAAAGTTTTAAAATTTTAGCTTTTTCTATTTTTCACCCTCTGAATATTTTTCTTTTCTTTTTCTTTTTTTGGCCTACTAAAACCTGAGACGCTTGCCTGGGAAATTACATGGACAGAGGAGCCTGGTGGGCTACAGTCCATGGCATGTCAAGAGTTGGACAGACCGTAGTAACTAAACATCATGGATTTGTCAGTTTCTGTTATGTGAGTATTGTAAGAGGCTAAATAATTAAAAGCATCATTTGTGATTAAAAACAAAACAAAACACAAAACCTGAGGAGGGTTCTGGCCGCAGGAAGAAAACAGCACAAGCGGTCCTTCGCAAACCTCTTCTTGTCTATTCGTGAATACATTGAATCCTCAGGGGACCCTCTGATCTGTTCCACACGCTTCGCTCGAAAGCAGAGCTTTCCTGTGAAACCTGTTGGAAGCCAAAATGGCATAAAGGGAGCAAGCAATTACCCCAGCACACATCTTGCTAAGGCGATAAAGCACAGATGCTCAAAGACGTAATTCAAAGCTATGGCAAGGGAGATGCTGAGTACAATTTCCCAAGAGAAAGCTTGGTGATGCCACCTCAGCCTCTACCAAGGCTGCTGCAATACAGACGCTGTTATTTTCAATTTTCATCTTTTCACATAAAAGTAAAAAAAAAAAAAATCACAGCTTTATACTCACAAAAATAGGTACTAATGTGGGTCTTCCATAAAAGCTAAGTGGTCTGGAGTGAATTTTCCAACACCGGAAGAATATCTATATACTTTATTAACATAAAACTATCTACAGATTTCATGTTATAACTAATATAGTTGGCTTTCCACACATAACCCAAGCTGGGCGGGGGCGGGGGGGGGTGTTATTAAATCTCCGCCGGCATCATCAATTATAACCAATTTCATCCAGAAGCGGCGCTTTGTCCCCTCACCTTACAAGGCGAGAGAAAGCGCCCGGCGTCGGGCGTCTCCAGGGGGCAGCCCTCTCAGAACCGGAAGTCCTCTTCAGGCCTCAGTTTCCACAAAGTGAAAGAACCGCTGGCGGGTAGTACCGGTCCCCGGCCCCGCCCTACCAGCGAGCAGCCACGCCCCGAGGGCGGAGACCGGGCGGAGCCGCGAGCTCTCCTCCGCCTCCTCCCGACTCGCCGCTGCCCCCGGTGCTGGCGGCGCATGTGCCTGGCCACCCCTCCCCGGCCCTGGATTCCACTTCCTCTCCGCTGGCGCTGCCGCCGCAGCCGCCTTCAGGCCCCGCGCCGCCTCCGGAGTCCATGGCCGGGACGCGCTGGGTGCTCGGGGCGCTGCTCCGTGGTTGCGGCTGCAACTGCAGCAGCTGCCGGCGCACCGGCGCCGCCTGCCTGCCCTTTTACTCGACCGCCGGCTCCTTTCCCTCGGGAGTCTCGGGCCGCCGCCGCCTGCTGCTGCTGCTCGGGGCCGCCGCGGCAGCCGCCTCTCAGACGCGGGGCTTCCAGAGCGGGCCTGTGACCGCCGGGAGGCTGGCGGGCCCCCCCACCGCGGCCGCGTCCGCCGCCGCCTCGTACCCGGCCCTGCGCGCCCCATTGCTGCCGCAGTCCCTGGCGGCGGCTGCGGCGGGCCCGGCGCGGGGCTACAGCCAGGTACGTGGGTGCCGCGAAGGGCTGCGCGCCGGACCCTCCCCGGCCGCGCGCCCGCTCCCCTCGGCGTGCGTCTCGCCGGCGCGCGCGGGGTACCGCGGCACGCGCCGCACCCCCCTTCCGCTCCCACCCCCGCCCGCCCGGTCCTCCTATTGGGCCCCAGAACAAGGGACGCTTTCCCCGGCCTCGGCTTTTCTCCTTGTTTTTGTTCTCCTCTCGAGTCTGTGGTCGGTTGGGCAGTGTAAGTGTGACTGGGGGTGAATGTTGAGGCCTTGTTTCCCGCCGGCCTATGGTAGGTTTTGTGAGGCGGTCTCCGTCCCCGCCGCGCATCCCTGTCGCTCCCCGCCCCCCTGGTCGTGAAGTTGGGAGGCTGGACCCCCGGAGGGTCGGGACTTTCTGTGTCGCCCGAGCTCTAGGCCTGGGCGGCCTTCGGCGCACCTGGCGGTTCCGCTGCTGCGAAGCTTCCCGCACTCGCGTGGGCTGGGTTGGTGGGGGGGGGGGGGGGCGGCAGAAGCAGGCTGGTCCCCGGCGCTGTCCTTGCTCTCGAGTCCCCGGGGAAAGGCGGGTTGCCCCAGTTACTGAAGGTCACCTCCGCCTCTTCTGACGGAAGGTCCTTTAGGACTGTGGGTCACCGCCGGTGGGAAGGACAGCTTGGAGACCGATATAGGGGGAGGGGGGCTGAGGAGAGAAGGCGTCTGGGACTGATGATGACTTGGGGACCCAGGAGTGAGTCTACAGTAATTTACTTGTTTTTTTAGTGAGTGTGTACGGATTGCAAATATTTTGTGCCTCATAGGAAGCTTTCCTTCTGCTTGTTAGCGTGGCGTCTGGGAAATGTCAGCACACTTTTTTTGACCACCATGTTCCTGATGCCTTGGGTCATATTTATCTTAATTCAGTTTGTGCTTCTCCTTGAACTTAGGGAAACTGGGAAGCTGATCAGCATGGCTGATGTCTGCCAGTGGCTGAGCTAATGGATTTGAATCCGGGCCCAGTAGTTTTTGCTGCCCTTTTTTGTAAAAGCTTGTGATGTTTATGGAATTCTGGGAAAATGGGGAATGTTGTTTTGATTAAAAGAAAATAGTATGCTTTTGTGACCTGGCTGCTCTTTTTTTCTGATATTTATTTCTGTGAATTTGGCTAATATAATGATATGTGTTGAGCCTTTACTAGTATTATACTGTGCTTGCATTATTGATTCCTTAAAATTTAAATCTTCGTGAAAATGATGGGAACATAAAAAACAGTGAAGTATCTCTCTTGAGTAGAGTGCAAGTCACTTGACTTAAAGCCTGTCTTCCCTTGTTGATAATGGTAGTGCTTGTTACATTCTTATTTAATATGTATCAGGCCTCTGCTAGACGTTTACATTTATCATTGACTTCTTAGAATTAGACAAGTTTTTATGTAAATGGTAGGATGGTACAAAGGAATCCGTTTCCTTAGCCTAGTAGAGTGCAAGTCTTAAAACCCGAGTTGTCTTCCCTGGCTATGGTTCTGGTGCTTGTTAGAACCTTGTTATGTTCCACTTTTTGTTTAGTCTGGTAAAATATGAGTTTTTTGGATGTGTCTCAAGCTCCAGTTACCTCACACTACTGCTTTTGCGATTAATGATCTTTTCCTTATTCAGTTGACCTGACATACCAGTTGACAGGTTAGGCTTTCCAAGCATCCTGCTGACTTGTTGATTTATGCACTCCTAAATGTCTTTTATTAGCTCCCCTTTGCCTACCAGTTTAAGGACACACACTGAGCTTAACACTCCAGTTCTTCTGCTGTGTGGTACCCAGTTCCTTTTGCCAGCTCATCTTCTTTGGCTCCTAATTGCATCCTGCAGTTTAGCCAAATGCAATTATTGCTGTTTTGCAAATGGGCTTCTGTTCCTACTGTTTGTTCCCCTTACTTCTCAGACTGGAATGTCTGGCCTTTATATATTGCTCTCAGAATTGTAGCCTTCCTTCAGTGCTCATCTCATATCTTGTCTTGATTCTTTCGTTTGTGCTTTGTTTTCAGTTTCTATGATATCTTGTATCGTAGCTGTAACACTTAAAACATCTTGTCTGTGTCCTTGTCCTACGCTACATGCTAAGCTTTTTGAGATGGAAGCCTAGTTATGGCCTACTGCAGTTAGGAGGTGTTTATATATTTGTCCAGTTGAAGGGACCTCTCTTGTCCCGCCTTAACTAAAACACTACTAGGTGTAATTTGAGATTGATAAATTTAAAAACAAGCCTGGAATAAAATTTACATTCTGCCAAGCCATTAGGCTTTGTATGCTTCTTGCTTTAGGATGTGCAATGTAAGCCAGAACAGGATGAGTTAGATTTGTGAATTTTCCTTACCTCTGAAATAACAAATTGTCCCTAAAGAATAACATTCAGAGTGTTTTTGTAGAAATAAACATTTGTTAAGTACCTGTTCAAGAAATATTTCTGCAATTCTTTATTTCTCTTGGAAGGAATCCAAAACTACCTACCTGGAGGACCTTCCACCTCTCCCTGAGTATGAATTGCCTCCGTCCAAGTTGGGAGAGGAAGTGGATGATGTTTATCTCATTCGAGCTCAAGGATTACCATGGTCCTGCACTGTAGAAGATGTCCTTAGCTTTTTCTCAGGTATATTTTATGTATGTGCGTGAAAGGTAGTCCCATAAAATCCCAGTTAGACTATGCTGTAGACATCTTATTTGATGAATGGAAATTGTCACGTTCTGGGGACATCATATATATTATTTGTCATATATACCAGATTTAAAGACCTTAAATATAGCAAAAATTTTAATGTTAAAACTATATGGTATGAAACCAGTTTTCTCAGAAGTTTTAATGTGTGCATAACCTGTTAGTGGAAATACGTTAGTGAGAATATACTTGAGTAGCTCTTTGTGTAACACATATATTTGTTGTTATTGTTCCCTTAGTTTAGTAAAATGTTTGAAGGTTTATGTATTTATGGTTGATCTTAATCTTTTGTATCTTCCTATGATTTTAATTTTCCTGCTTCTTAAGAGGCTTCTAGAAGATGCTGACTTAAATGTTACATGTTAAATGAACATGTAATACTATATTAAGTACCTGATGTGCGTTGTATTTACATCTTCAACTTGCTCCCAATATAAGGAGTGTGCAGTTTGGTAATGAAAAAGAGGAAAAGTTAAATTATGTTGCAGAATTATTCTGATAGATATTTTAGAGTTCTTATGGATATGGTCATAACAAAGAAGACACTTATGCATAAACCTAACCATATTTTAATTCTTTGAATGATGTTAAGCCAATTGTAGAAACATTTGGAAGGATATATTAATCACATTTTGTGTTGAGCCTAACCTGATTTGCCATTTACTGATCATGAGGTCATAAACTTATGTGATAAGGTTTGCTTATCTTTTCCACACGGAACATTTAAGAGACTACCACCATCATTAGCATTTGGATGCCTTTGGTACTGAAGGTTTGTGTAAGGAAAATGGCGGGCAGTGTGGATACTGCCTCATTCTGTTGTTAGATTGCAGATCTGATGACTTGTATTGATATGATTGAGCTAAAACTTTGATTTCTGGTTTTGATTGATTTTACTCACAAACTTTCAGACTGCAGAATTCGCAACGGTGAGAATGGAATTCACTTCCTCTTAAATAGAGATGGGAAACGAAGGGGTGATGCCTTAATTGAAATGGAGTCAGAGCAGGATGTGCAAAAAGCCTTAGAAAAACACCGCATGTACATGGGGCAGCGGTATGTGGAAGGTACGTGAAGTCATATTATTGCTTTTTGGGATCATCACATTAGACTGTACTTTTCAAGGCAGTTTCATTTGATCCTATGTTAAATATTATGAATAGTGAAGTAGTTAGATACTGTGAATAACCCTTTTCCAAGGTGGGAAAATGAAGCCAAAAATAATCTCTGTTTCTTGTCTGTAAAATGAGGATGTTGACAAAGTTTACCTCTGATGTTGTGATGTTACAGCTGGCTCAGGGTAAACATCTGACAAATGTCATTTATTATTTTCACCAGAGAAGTATTAATACATATGTTTTTAGAGTCTTATGTAATCTAACCAATGTGATTATTTTTAATGGATTCTTTGTTATGTAAATTTTGCATACCTTTTGTGCTCTTTTGCTTAGTCTATGAGATAAACAATGAAGATGTGGATGCCTTAATGAAGAGCCTGCATGTCAAATCTGCACCTGTGGTAAATGATGGCGTGGTTCGCTTGAGAGGACTTCCTTATAGTTGCAATGAGAAAGACATCGTAGATTTCTTTGCAGGTGCTTTTCAGTTATATCATGTTTGGGACCTCATATCATCTTGCTCTGGGTTTCCATAGTGGCTTAGTGGTAAAGAATCCGCCTGCCAGTGCAGGAGACTTGAGTTCAGTCCCTGGGTCAGGAAGATCCCCTGGAGAAGGAAGTGACAATCCACTTCACTATTCTTGCCTGGGAAATCCCATAATCAGGGGAGTCTGGCAGGCTTGAGCCCATGGAGTCACAAAGAGTCAGACATGACTAAGTGACTGAACAACAGCAACAGTCTTCTCCCTCTGTTGTTTCCTTTTATCTTAGGTGAACATTTTCCTAGTCAGTCAGTTCAGTTGTGTTCAGTTGCTAAGTCGTGTCTGACTCTTTGCAACCCCATGGACTGCAGCAGGCCAGGCCTCTCTGACCATCGCCAACTCCCAGAGTTTACTCAAAATCATGTCCATTGAGTTGGTGATGCCATCCAACCGTCTCATCCTCTGTCATCTCCTTCTCCCGCTTTCAGTCTTTCCCAACATCACAGTCTTTTCAGATGAGTTAGTCCTTCACATCAGGTGGCCAAAGTATTGGAGTTTTAGCTTCAGCATTAATCCTTCCAATTAATATTCAGTGTTGATTTCCTTTAGGATGGACTGGTTTGATCTCCTTGCAGTCCATGGGACTCTCGATAGTCTTCTCCAACACCAAAGTTCGAAAGCATCAATTCTTCGGTGCTCAGCTTTCTTTATAGTCCTACTTTCACATCCATACATGACTACTGGAAAAACCACAGCTTTGACTAGACGGGCCTTTGTTGGAAAAGTAATGTCTCTGCTTTTGAATATGCTCTCTAGGTTGGTCATAGCTTTTCTTCCAAAGAGTAAGCGTCTTTAAATTTCATGGCTGCAGTCACAATCTGCAGTGATTTTGGAGCCCAAGAAAATAAAGTCTCTCACTGTTTCCCCATCTATTTGCCATGAAGTGATGGGACCAGATGCTATGATCTCAGTTTTCTGAATGTTGGGTTTTAAGCCAACTTTTTCAGCCTCCTCGTTCACTTTCATCAAGAGGCTCTTTAGTTCTTCTCTTTCTGCCATATGGGTGGTGTCACCTGCATATCTGAGGTTATTGTTATTTTTCCCGGCAATCTTGATTCCAGCTTGTGCTTCATCCAGCCCAGCATTTCTCATGATGTACTCTGCATATAAGTTAAATAAGCAGACTGACAGTGTACAGCCTTGAAGTACTCCTTTTCCTATTTGGAACCAGTCTGTTGTTCCATGTCCAGTTCTGTTACTTCCTGACCTGCATACAGGTTTCTCAAGAGGTAGGTCAGGTGGTCTGGTATTCCCATCTCTAAGAATTTTCTACAGTTTGTTGTGATCCACACAGTCAAAGACTTTGGCATAGTCAATAAAGCAGGAATAGATGTTTTTCTGGAACTCTTGCTTTTTCGATGATCCAGCGGATGTTAGCAATTTGATCTCTGGTTCCACTGCCTTTTCTAAAGCCAGCTTGAACATCTGGAAGTTCACAGTTCACGTACTGTTGAAACCTGGCTTGGAGAATTTTGAGCATCACTTTACTAGAGTGTGAGATGAGTGCAATTGTGCTGTAGTTTGAGCATTCTTCGGCATTGCCTTTCTTTGGGATTGAAATGAAAACTGACCTTTTCTAGTCCTGTGGCCACTGCTGAATTTTCCAAATTTGCTGGCATATCAAGTGCAGCACTTTCACAGCATCATCTTTTAGGAATTGAAATAGCTCAACTGGAATTTCATCACCTCCAGCAGCTTTGTTCATAGTGATGCTTCCTACGGCCCACTTGTTTAGGGGAAAGTCTTCATTTGGAGTTGCAGTATTTATAGATTATATAAGTATTTTGACCTATCATGCTGATCTTTGAGGGTGTCATATTTAAAAGTGATTTCACGTGAAGTTTTTATTTTTTTCTATGAGGAAAACATTCTTTCATAAAAGTGGCTGTATTTGTCTTAAGACAGCAATTTATATGACTTAAAAGCATTAATACCTAATTCTTAGCAGTAAGATATGCATCAGTAGTGATGTTAGTCTAAATTTCTATTTCCCTTAATCTGTAATTAATGGCAAAAAAAGAGAGAGTTGTTTTTTAGATGGACTGCTTGGACCCTAAACATTCTGGGAATAGGTGGGTGTTATTGGCTTTTGACTGCATAATAATTTTCTTCCCATTAGGCAGGTATAGGCTTTGAGACTGGCAAACTAGCCACACAATTTTACTAATAAAATTAAAAAAGAAATTCTTAGTATGTGATTGAATGTATTAAGTTGTAAGACTAAAAAAGCTCCTGTTAGCAGCACTAATTTGTAATAATTTTTGGACACCTAGGACTGAATATAGTAGACATTACTTTTGTCATGGATTATAGAGGGAGAAGAAAAACAGGAGAAGCCTATGTGCAGTTTGAAGAACCAGAAATGGCCAGCCAAGCCCTTTTGAAACACAGGGAAGAAATTGGCAACCGGTGAGTGAAGCAGATAGTAAAGATGTAGAAAGATCAAACATTGGGTCATTCTGATGAACACGGTGTAACATGACTGTAAAATTATTTCAATACAGACATGAACTGTCACATGTCTATCACTTAGACGAATAAATTAACATTTGTTATATTTGCTGCATCTGTTTTTTCAGTTTGTCTTTTCTTTTTTTAACATGATCTCAGTATTTATTATCTAATGCCAGTCCATAATCACATTTTCCTGTTTATACCCAGAGTGTCCTTTTCTAGTTGCCTTCTTTTCACCCACCAAAATCTAGACATGGTCCACACGTTGCATTTGATTGTTATGCTTCCAATTCTGTTAAGTTTAAGCAAATCCCCTTTCCCTGTTTATTCCCTTCTGCTTTTTATTATTTTTTTCCCCCATTAGGCCATGCCATGTAGCTTGTGGGATCTACGTTCCCTGAATGGGGATTGAACCCACACCCACAGCAATAAAAGCACTGAGTCCTAGCCACTTGACCACCAGGAAATTCACCTCCCCCCCCACCCCAAACTCTTTTTTAAAATCCAGTTGGCTTTTGAAGAAATTGAGTCAGTGGTCCTGTATAGTGTCTCACATTCTGTATTTATATTTTTGCTTCCTCATGGTATCCTTTATCTTACTTCTTTGTATCCTGTGTTATTTCCTGATAACCAGATGTTAAAATCTCGGATTTATTCGGGTTAACATTTTAATATGGATACTCGATAGAGGTTTACCAGTTGCTCAGCGGTAAAGAATCTGCCTACCAATGCAAGAGATGTGGGTTGGATCCCTGGGTTGGGAAGATCCATGCTGGACGAGGAAATGGCAACCCACTCCAGTATTCTTGCCTGGAAAATTCCATGGACAGGAGCCTGGTAGGCTAGAGTCCATGTGGTCACAAAGAGTTGGACACAGTTAAGCATGAGCACAATAAATCTCTTTAGTAAATGTAAGAAAAGTTGCCTGTCTAGGTCTGTAAATGCAAATGACTCCTATAATTTGAGCTTGATAACCTAATTTGGAAAAGCATTGTTCAGAAAAAGGAAACTGGTTCCAGAAGCTTGAATTTAATAGTTCCACAGCCATACAGAAAGGAAGTTAGAACTGACATTTAGTTCATGAATTCTCCTTAGCCTCTAGTGAAGTCCTGAGGCAAGTTAGCTCGTCATATACAGTGACTTTTAATGTCTTGGCAGATATGATGAATTTTCACAGAAGTGATTTGTAAGACCTCAAGAGATTATTAATCAACTGTATTAAAAAAATAAAACCTTTCTTAACAGATTCTTTTTATATATACAGTTGACCTTTGCATATTGTCGTTGTGAAGTGAAATGGGGTAGAAAACATTGGTAAAAGAAAACTGTTTTCTTGGAGAGGATTAAATCATTGACCTGGTCTGTTGAGAGTACTTTTTCATGGGCTAATGTCTATGTCCATTCTTACTTATTTCCTCACCTGTTATCTTTGGACACCCATGTTTGTTAACCTTTGAAAATATATATGCATATTTTATTTTGAAAGAGTTCACCATGAAGTTAATGTGTACATATTCACTTTTGTTTTGATATAGATATATAGAGATATTTCCAAGCAGAAGGAATGAAGTTCGAACACACGTTGGTTCTCATAAGGGAAAGAAAATAGCATCTTCTCCCACTGCTAAATATATAACTGAGCCAGAAATGGTCTTTGAAGAGCATGAAGTAAATGAGGATGTCCGACCCATGACAGCTTTTGAAAGTGAGAAGGAAATAGGTAAGGACTTGCCTTTTATTTCTACTCATTGGGTCTGCCTTGTATGTTTTGATATTTGTTAAAAAAAACAAAAACAAAAACCTGTTTTATGACCATGTTGTATGATATTGTAAGAGTATAGGATAAAGGGTATTGAGTTAAATATTTAATATATCTTTGAGTGTAATGTGTACTGTGAACACACAGTCTTCCCTCAGTATTCACAGGGGGTTGGGTCCAGTACTTGTCCTGGATACCAGAATCCATGAATGCTCAAGTCTGATAGCCCTCTGTATCCAGAAGTTCCACATACAGGGAATGAAGTGTTGACTATACAGGCCGAAGATACAGGTTTTTAAAAACTTATTTTTTTGTAGATTCTGTGTCAAAAGCTAGGTTTCACATATATAGCAAAAAGAAGTAAGTTTGTCAGCATTTTAAACTTTAAGTTGGGAAAAGATGTGTGTAAGAAAGCAGGATTGTTGACAAAGGAAGGAATGTTGTCTACCTCTGTATTTAATTATTCCTTTGATTCTTAATCCCAAAACAGTGTTTAGAATCTTGAAAGTTTGATAAATACATTCTAAGTTTGTGCCCTAGAAATATCCCGTTACCATATTAATTTTTTTTAAGTGATCATAACCCAGGAAATTTTTCTCGCCTTTATTTTTTCATTCATAATCGTTTTTCTTTCTGTTTGTTGTTAGAGAAAGATACCTTCTTTATAATCTGGTAATGGTTTGAGACACTAAATCCTTATAAGTGTTCAGGTGATATCTGTTAGTGGGGGAAATTTCAGATGACTGGCTTTTAAAATGGAAGCCCTCTTCCTTACTATTTGAAGAGGAATTGAGGATTTTGACATTAAAGTCATTTCTAATTGCAGTCTGCTAATAATTCCTGAAGCTTTGATGTTCCTGACAGTGCTTTTTGTTCTACTTCTCAGAATTGCCTAAGGAGATGTCAGAAAAGCTTCCAGAGGCTGTTGATTTTGGAACTACGTCTTCACTACATTTTGTACACATGAGAGGATTGCCTTTCCAAGCCAATGCCCAAGACATTATAAATGTGTGTGGTAGTAAGATATCCAATCTCGATAGCTTTGAACAACAGTTCTGAAGTTTTGAACTTCTATTTGGGGAAGGTAGAGAAGAAAAGTAACAGTGATACTGTAGTATCTTTGGACAGCAAGATGGCATCTCCATGACTCTGGAAGCTTGTTTTATTTTCGTTGGCTGAGAAATGTGGGTTTTATTACATTTTAAAGTCATATATATAATGGATAAAAAGATTTTACAGATGTAGAATAATATGGTATAGGTTTAGTATTCAAAGTAAAAAAAATTTTTATTTTACGATAGATACTATATGAAATGAAAAGATATGACACAACAAAGTACTTACTGATTTTCTGAACTTGAGGATGTATACTTAAGGTAGATCCAAAACTGGAGCCTTCAGTTAGCAGTGGGGCATCACAATTGTCTTCATTATTTCAAAAAGCCTAATGGGAATCATGTCTTTACCCAAATGAAGGTTGCATAGTCTCATTAAAGAATTGCTTTCTGTTGCTTTGATTTGGAATTTTAACCACTCATTGTGGTAGCTCTGTTTAGGTGGTATGGTAAGAAAATGATTATTAGCTGCATGTCTGATTAAAACATGGTAAAAATGAATGATTATTAAAAAATGAAGTATTTTTGATGGGTGATTTTTTTTAGAAACACAGAAGGATGTATGTGGGAGGAATAATATAAGTAGTCCTTGTTGGTGTAAAGGAAAGCTTGAAAACTATTTGTATATTATTGTATATATAGTGTAAGTTCTCTGTGAACAGAATTTGAAATATAACCTTGAGTTCTAAGAAGATCAGAAGAGCCAAAAGAAGCGGTAGATGTGTAATTACATAGTTGCTTAATGAGATTTCCTAAAAATAGATTTATTAGATGTATGAATTGGAGTCTGAAAGAAAAGTGCAGGGCCACCAGACTTCTAGAAATTGGACCTAGTAACATTATGTTCCTTTTGGCTCCCTTTGTTTGTTTAGTTTTTTGCTCCATTGAAGCCTGTTAGAATCACCATGGAATACAGTTCCAGTGGGAAGGCCACTGGAGAAGCTGATGTGCACTTCGATACCCATGAGGATGCTGTTGCAGCTATGCTCAAGGATCGGTCCCATGTTCGTAAGTGCTGCCCATGATTTTTGTTATCAATTTTGACAACAAATCCCTTTTTCTGTTGTAGAGTTTACCCAGAAGTCTTTCATGGGGGAACTGTACTCTGCTAATACTATTAAGTAAATGTAAAGAGGACAAAACTCTACATTATAATGAGAAGCATTTATTTGTCTATTTACTATTCTGCATATTTCTATCCAGAGTTAGGAGGTTTTTTTGATTTTGTTTTAGTTTTTACCTAAGGAAAGGATGGGACAGAGGGTTTGAGTTGCTGGCTAAACTCAAAAAAATGACTATAATATTACTTCTGCCTTTGTAATTCTTTAAAAATGGACTCTTTTATGTTATTCTCAGACCATAGGTATATTGAATTGTTCCTGAATTCATGTCCGAAAGGAAAATAAGCTTCAAAGGATTCCAGTTATAATAAGGTAAATTTAAGAGGTAGACTTGTGGAAATTATTTTCAGTTGATAAATTAATCATTAACTCACTAATTTGTAATATGTAAAACCATTCTCATTTTAATAAAGATCAAACTAATCATGATTGAAGCCTCACTATAAGAAATGAAATTCTTCTGGAAAATAGAATTCATTATGATCCTATAGTGGCTTTATTTTCCCATTAGAATCTCTTTGCATCATTCCCAGCATTCATCTTGCTATGTGTCTAAAAAGAACTCCTCACCTTTAGTAGCTGCATATTATATTATAATACACTGAAAATGTGCCTCATATTAGCTTGTCTTCCTAAAAAATTGACTCACATTTCTTAGTTCTAAGGTACAGCCTTGTCTAACTCAGTGAAACTATGAGCCATACCTTGTAGGGCCACGCAAGATGGACAGGTCATGGTGGAGAGTTTTCTGACAAAATGTGGTCTACTAGAGAAGGAAATGGCAAACCACTTCAGTATTGCCTTGAGAACCTCATGAACAGTATGAAAAGGCAAAAAGATACAACACTGAAAGGTTAATTCCCCAGGTTGGTAGGTGCCTGGTATGCTGCTGGCGAAGAGTGAAGAAGTAACTTGAGAAAGGATGAAGAGTCCAGACCCAAAGCAAAAACAACACCCAATGGTTGATGTGACTGGTGGTGGAAGTAACGTTCGATGCTGTAAGGAACTGTAAAGCGTAGGAACCTGGAATGTTAGGTCCATGAATCAAGGTAAATTGGAAGTGGTCAGACAGGAGATGGCAAGAGTGAACATTGACATTTTAGGAATCAGTGAGCTAAAATGGACTGGGATGGGTGAATTTAACTCCGGTAGTCATGTATGGATGTGAGAGGTGAACTGTAAAGAAAGCTGAGCACCAAAGAATTGATGCTTTTGAACTGTGGTGTTGGAGAACACTCTTGAGGGTCCCTTGGACTGCAAGGAGAGCCAACCAGTCCATCCTAAAGGAGATCAGTCCTGAGTGTTCATTGGAAGGACTGATGTTGAAGCTGAAGCTCCAATTCTTTGGCCACCTGGTGCGAAGAGCTGACTCATTTGAAAAGACCCTGGTGCTGGGAAAGATTGAGGGCAGGAGGAAAAGGGGACGACAGAGGATGAGATGGTTGGATGGCATCACTGACTCACTGGACATGAGTTTGGGTAAACTCCACGAGTTGGTGATGGACAGGGAGGCCTGGTGTGCTGCGGTCCATGGGGTCACAAAGAGTCGGACACGAATCTGAGCAACTGAACTGAACTGAACCATTATATATACTACTGTGGGTAAGAATCCCTTAGAAGAAATGGAATAGTCCTCATAGTCAACAAGAGTCTGAAATGCAGTTCTGGGGTGCAATCTCAAAAATGACAAAATGATCTCTTGTTTGTTTCCAAGGCAAACCATTCAGTATCACAGTAATCCAAATTTGTGCCCCAACCAGTAATACTGAAGAAGCTGAAGTTGAATGGTTCTGTGAAGACCTACAACACCTTCTAGAACTGACACCCAAAAAAGATGTTCTTTTCATCATAGGCGAATGGAATGCAAAAGTAGGAAGTCAAGAGATACCTGGAGTAACAGGCAAATTTGGCCTTGGAGTACAAAATGAAGCAGGACAAAGGCCAAGAGTTTTGCCAAGAGACGCACTGGTCATAGCAAACACCCTCTTCAACAACACACGAGAAAACTCTACACATGGACATCACCAGATGGTCAATACCAAAATCAGATTGATTCTTTGCAGCCAAAGATGGAGAAGCTCTATACAGTCAATGAAAATAAGATCAGGAGCTGACTGTGGCTTAGATCATGAACTCCTTATTGCCAAATACAGACTTAAAGAAAGTAGGGAAAACTACTAGACTATTCAGGTATGATTTAAATCTTTATGATTATACAGGGGAAGGGACAAATAGATTCAAGGATTTAGATCTGATAAGACAGAGTACCTGAAGAACTATGGACAGAAGTTCATGACATTGTACAGGAGGCAGTGATCAAGACCATCCCCAAGAAAAATTCCTAAAGGCAAAATGGTTGTCTGAGGAGGTCTTACAAATAGCTAAGAAGAGAAGCGAAAGGCAAAGGAGAAAAGCAAGGATATACACATTTGAATGCAGAGTTCCACAGAATAGCAAGGAGAGGTAAGAAAGCCTTCCTCAGTGATCAGTGCAAAGAAACAGGAAGATGACAGAATGGGAAAGATGAGAGGTCTCTTCAAGAAAGTTGGAGATACCAAGGGAACATTTCATGCAAAGATGGGAATGATAAAGGACAGAAACGATCTGGACCTAAAAGAAGCAGAAGATATTAGGAAGAGGTGGCAAGAATACATGGAAGAACTATACAAAAAAATATCTTCATGACCCAGATAACCATGATGGTGTGATTATCCACCTAGAGTCAGACATCCTGGAATGCAAAGTCAGGTGGACCTTAGAAAGTGTCACTACAAACAAAGCTAGTGGAGGTGATGGAATTCCAGTTGAGCTATTTCAAATCCTAAAAGATGATATTGTTAAAGTGCTGCACCCAAGGGATATGTCAGCATATCCATGTCAAATATGGAAGCAAATGTGGAAAACTCAGCAGTGGCCGCAGGACTGGAAAAGGTCAGTTTTCATTCCAGTCCCTAAGAAAGGCGATGCCAAAGAATGTTCTCATTACCTCACAATTGCCCTCATCTCACATGCTAGTAAAGTAATGTTCAAAGTTCTCCAAGCAAGGCTTCAACAGTATGTGAACCATGAACTTCCAGATGTCCAAGCTGGATTTAGAAAAGGCAGGGGAACCAAAGATCAAATTGCCAACATCCACTGGATCATCAAGAAAGGAAGAAAGTTTCATAAAAACATCTGCTTCCGCTTTATTGACTACGCCAAAGCCTTTGACTGTGTGGATCACAACAAATTGTGGAAAATTATTAGAGATGGGAATATCAGACCACCTGACCTGCCTCTTGAGAAATCAGTATGCAGGTCAGGAAGCAACAGTTAGAACTGGACATGGAACAACAGACTGGTTCAAAATTGAGAAAGCAGTACGTCAAGGCTGTATATTGTCAGCCAGCTTATTTAACTTATATGCAGAGTACATCATGCGAAATGCCGGACTGGATGAAGCACAAGCTGGAATCAAGATTGCTGGGAGAAATATCAGTAACCTCAGATATGGAGATGACACCACCCTTATGGCAGAAAGTGAAAAACTAAAGAGCCTTTTGACGAAAGTGAAAGAGGAGAGTGAAAAAAGCTGGCTTAAAACTCAACATTCAGAAAACTGAGATCATGGCATCTGGTCCCATCACTTCATGGCAAATAAATGGGTAAACAATGGAAATAGTGAGAGACTTTATTTTTCTTGGGCTCCAAAATCACTGCAGATGGTGACTTCAGCCATGAAATTACAAGATGTTTGCTCCTTGGAAGAAAAGCTATGACCAACCTAGACAGCATATTGAAAAACAGACATTACTTTGCCAACAAAGGTCTGTACAGCCAAAGCTGTGGTTTTTCCAGTAGTCATATATGGATGTGAGAGTTGGACCATAAAGCTGAGCACTGAAGAATTATGCTTTTGAGCTGTGGTGTTGGAGAAGACTTGAGAGTCCTTGGACAGCAAGGAGATCAAACCAGTCTATCCTAAAGGAAATCAGTCCTGAATATTCATTGGAAGGACTGATGCTGAAGCTGAAACTCCAATACTTGGGCCACCTGATGTGAAGAACTGACTCATTGGAGTAGACCCCGATGCTGGGAAGGATTGAAGGCAGGAGGAGAAAGGGACAACAGCGGATGAGATGGTTGGATGGTGTTAGCGAGTCTATGGGAATGTGTTTGAGCAAGCTTTGGGAGTTGTTGATGGACAGGGAAGCCTGGTGTGCTGCAGTCCGTGGGATCGCAAAGAGTCAGACATGACTAAGCAGCTGAACTGAACTGAAGGTATTTTTAAGATGTTTAAAACAATACATTTGAAACCAGGGTGTATCATGGATTTATATACGTTTAATGTACTACTGTTTCTTTTCCTAAAATGGTGTCATGAAAATTGTTGTCTGAGGAAGTACATAGATTTCATAGAGTTTTACCTGTGACAAATCAAGTAAATATATTTTGATGTTGCTTCCCTGACTCAGTGCAGTGTGGTATCTTTTTCCCCATAATTAATGTATTGTGATCATTTTTCTATCTGTAGTGGTGCATTCCTTTAAAACATTTAACTGTAATGAGTTCTTGAAAACACATGGGGCATTTCTTTACTGTAGTCATAGGCCATTTTTGGATATAAAATCCCACAATTGTGGGCCTTATATATTTACATTAGATAAAATCTGTGTAAAATATATTTTGTGTTCAACCTTGAAAATCTGCTGTCTTTCTACCAGGCTGCAAACACTCATGCTTAACTAATTTTGTTTACCTTAATTGTTTGTTAGATAACTTGCAGTACATCAGAAAAAAACAAAGTATTGAATTTGTAGTTTTAAATGATATGGGAATATGTGCAGCACTTTTTTAGTTTGAATAAAAATGTGCAACTTTTTTGTTTTATTTTCAGGATGAAGCAAGAAGCATTTCATTTGCACGTCTTTCTCGGACTTGGGATCTAAAGTTCCAGTTTTTTAGCAGCAACTGCTAGAGAAGTGGTTTCAAGATTTTGGGTTAATTGCTTATAAGGAAAATTCCATAGTGGACTGTTCAGAGAAAAAGATTCAGTTTAGGATTATGATACAAACCTCAAATTTAGTTTTTTTGCTTAAATTGTCCAGGATCTGGTTTAAAAATCTGCTCTTTTTTATATAATTAAACAGTTTGTTTTCATAGATGAATTATGACCCAGAAGGCTACATATTTTTATTCAGCACTGTCCTTTAAAATCTTTGTCCCATTTTAAAAATTATCCGTTTGAGGTTTTGGGTTTTGCCAATGAATTAAGAGATACAATGTAAAACTTTTCATGGAATAAAATACTGATTTATTTTAGCCAAATAGTCACCAAAGCAAGGAAAGTTTTCAGGCCCTTGAACCATTATAGTTCCACAGAGTTATTTTAATTTTAGATGTATTTGATTACTTAGATAGGGGTAAGGATTTAAAAAAAAAAATCAAAACAGAAAATAAATACCACATGTGAGTGAGTGTAAATGACAATAATTTGGCAGTTTTATGTCTTTAGAAATGTTTTGCCTTTTTCAGCCTTGTGCTAAAGGCATTTAATATTGGTGCCTGTATAATTAAGGAGGGAATTATAGTCTCAACTTAAAAGTTGTCTGACCCACCCCCTCCTCATCCCCGTGCCCCACCCCCCCATCACCTTGTTTTGATTTTTGGGTAAATCTTAAGGTGTGTGTTAGTCTAAGAACTGTGAAGTGACATGTCATAACAGTCCTGACTTGGAAGGACATTAATGGCTTCACTTGAATTTAAACCAGCTCTAGGTAGGAAAAAAATCGTGTCTCCTCATTTGCTTTTTCAGTGGGGTAGCACATCCCATATTTTAGAACAAGTAGGGGTGCCTTGCTTAAATAAAAATAGTATTTAATGTATAATTGTGTGAAAGGGTTATGGGTAAAGCTGTATTTCTGTCACATTGTGGCAGTACCTTCTGCTTTAATATTAAACAGCTTGTTATTTAAATACTGGATCAAAATGGCTGGCTTCAAACTGTAGTCATTAATAAACTAACTTTATGTGTACCTGTGTAGGAGAATCAAAGTTCTGTATAGTTTCTTTGCCTTGTTCCTGTTCTCAGGGTGACAACTGTCACGTGGTTACCAGGAGATGAAATTCTAATTCTTAAAGTTGAATTAGCCCAGATTTCTGAGAGGTGTTATCTGAAAGATTATGCCTTCTCTCACTTAAAACATAACCATCTTCGAATACCAGCTAAGATGAAATCGCTGTACTGTAAGTAGTCAATAAATGAAGACTTGTTTCAGGCTGAAGATTACCTAAGAGTATTTATTTTGGAGTGTGTGAATCAACCTAATATATTTTTGTTACATCAAGTCCTGGTATATTAATATAAGAAGAAATGGTTTATTTTTAGTTGTGTTTGTTTTTATCATCCTATAAGAATGTGAGTCAATCAACCAGCCTAACATCTTCCATGTTACTACCTAGATAGAAATGTATTTTCATACGTGGTTGAGTGTACTGAGCTATGTGAACGGGTGTCGGTAGCTGTATGAGCTATTAGAATATGATCTTTTCTCTCTCTCTCTGTACAACTCTTAGAAAAGAATGAGAGCAAAGGCATTAAGATGTTCTGCGGTGGGTAAGCTTGAAGAGGTATATCTTCTTACTGTACTAGTGGCCGAGTTCTCAAAAAAAAAAAAAACCGGTGTGCTTTCTTGGGAAGTCATATCGTGAATTCATGTAATACTTTCCAATACTCCCTTTAATAGGTTATTGTTCATATTTATGTTAGTAAGTGAGTAATAGCTGACAAGGCAAATGTATTTCAGGAAAGAGAAGAAAAGCACATAATAGAATAAAAGTAATTTTTATTTTTATCCCATCTAAAGACATACTCCCCGCCCCCCCCCCCCCCAAAGTGTGACACAACTGGTTTGTGCATCATCATTTTCTATTGAAAGAAATAGTGGCAGTGAATTCGCTCTTGTCTTTGGGAACTTTGTGTCTTTATAATCTCCTGGTAAAGCTGTCAGAAATAGTGGGATTGCATGTGTCGAGGTTCACCTGTATGCTCCTTCAGCCCGCTCAGAAGAATAAGGGGGGATGCTGATAAGGAGCATGTAGATGCCAAGGGGAAGATTGCTGAAGACTGTGTTCTGATCTAATGTGCTCGCTGTCAGCAGAGAGTGAAGCAGAGCCGTTTGGTTTGTCCGTCTGTGTCTGGGTGAGAGGCTTCTGCTCTGCTGCAGAGGGAGACCGAGCCCACTGTGGAGCAAAAGGCTCCGGATCCTCCTCGGTACTTCTGCAGTGTGGCCGGGAAGAGCCAGGAGAAAGCCACTGCCATCTATGTGACATTTTGAGGAGGTGACCCTGCTAATTTTTAACATGCTCTATTGGCATCCTCTGCCCGACAGTCCCCTAGCACAGTGGTCCGCAACCTTTTTGGCACCAGGGACCGGTTTTGTGGAACAATTTTTCCGCAGATGGTTTCAGAATGATTCAAGGGCATTATATTTATATGCTGCAGCGGATCTGATAGGAGGCGGAGCTCAGGTGGTTCTGTGAGCAATGGGGAATGGCTGTAAGTGCAGATGAAGCTTTTCTTGTTTGCTTGCCCGCCTTCTGCTCACCTGCTCTGTGGCTCACTTCCTAACCGAGTGCTCCGTGGCCCAGGGTTTGGAGACCCCCTGCCTCAGCATATTCTCATTTGGAGATTTTTCTCTGGGTTAAAAAACATCCTGTTACTTTAAGAGTTTTCCCTAAATTAAGTGAAAGGGTTGACATTCAGATGATAATAGGACCTGAATTAGTAGAATGGTATATCTCAGCAGTAAAGTGCCTAAGTTTCAGCAGTTTAGGAAAAAAAAAATTGCTCTAATGTAGTAGGAATACATTTTCCTTGCCTGAATTCAGCAGATTAAAAAATAAATCTCTGAAGTTTGTACTAAGGGAATAAAGCTGCTATAAACATTTGTGTGTAGGTTTTTTGTGTATACATAAGATTTCAGCTCATTTGGGTAAATACCAAGGAGTGTGATTGCAGGATCATATGGTAACACTATGTTTAGTTTTGTGAAAACCTGCCAAAATGTCTTCCAAGATGGTTGTACCATTTTGCATTTCCACCAGGAATGAATAAGAATTCCTGTAGCAGCTCATCCTTGCCAGCATTTGGTGTTGTCAGTGTTTTGAATTTTAGCTACTCTCATAGGTGTCAAGTGATATTTAGTTTTAATTTGAAGGTCCATAAATTGCATAAGATATTGACATCTTTGTATACATTTGCATGGGCATGTTGTCTTTGGTGAATTGTCTGTCCAGATCTTTTGCCCAGTTTTTTAGTTGAGTAGTTTCCTTACTGAATTTTAGGAAGAGGACTATAGGAAGATTTAATTTGGTTCTTAAGCCTTGATAATACAAGAATAAATAGGATAATTTAAAAATTTTGTGTTTCTACTTTTTGAAGGAAATAAAATGCAAGAGAGATGAAGGGGTATACAGTGAACAGTCTCCTTCCATCCTATACTTCAGCCACCTAGTTCCTGTTCTCAGGCAACCATGTCATCATGGGTATATTTTCTAATGTAAACTTCAGTGATTTTACTGTATAATAGGTGAATACTGGCATTTTCATTTATTTTAAAAATATAGTATACTATTCTTTACCTTTTCTCCCCATTTAGTACATCCTAAATATTTTATATTGGTACATAAAATGCTTTCTCATTTTTTAAAATGGTTATACAGTGTGGATGTAATTTAATAGTTTAACCTGTCATTACTGATGAACATATAAACTGTTTATAGTCATTTGCTATTTTAATGCTGGGATGAATTACCTTGTATAAATTTAGATCATTTTGTACATGCATAAATTTCTCTATAGGATAAATAGTCAGAGCATGTGCACTGGTAAACTTATATCTAAAATTCAGTTTCTGTCTATAGCTTGTTTTTCCTTTGTTTGCACCAGCAATGCAAGTCCCCATTTCTCCACAGCCCCCGAACACAGTGTATTAGCAGTCTACTCTTTGCCCATCTTCCAAGGTTAAAAATACAAAATGGTATTATTCTCTTACGATGTAGAATTTCTTCATGTTTGAGGGCTTTTGGATTTTTTTTTTTTTTTTGTATGAACTTGTCTTCATATCCTCTACCCATATTTCTTTTTCTCTTATAATCCCCATCTACTTATCCTCATTAATTTTAAAACAGATTCAAGATACCATCATTTTTTCTGGATACATGTATAGCCTATATTTCTTTTTAAAAAGAGGACTTTAGGGACTTTCTTGGCTTAAGACTTCTGCTTCTAATTCAGAGGGGGTGGGTTCAAATTCTGGTCAGGAAAATAAGATCCCACATGCTGCTCAACCAGAAAAAAATTTAAAAAATAACCATTACTCCTAAAAATACTAATTTCTTATCAAATAACTTCTTAAAAAGTATATTTGAATCAGGATCTAAGCAACAGTCCATAACCTGCAATGGTTTTTATGTCTTTCCTCTGCAACATGTTTTAATAATAAATTGTAATAAAAACTTCAAATATTTGGAAAAATTTAATGCCTATACATACTACCACCTAGATTTTACAAGTAACATTTTACCATATTTTTTTCTTCATGTATCTGTGCATCCATCAATGCATTTTGTTTATGTGTGTCCAAGTTGTAGACATCCATACTTGAATCTTAAGCTTTGTAGCATCCATATTATTAAGTAGACTTCTTATTCTTGGGGTAAAATGTACAGTGAAGTGAACAAATGTTACTTTGATGAGTGCTGATATGTAACCCAAACCCCTTACAAACTATGGAGCATTTCCATCACATCAGAACATTTCTGCAGTCAGTTCTTGTTCCTCCTGCATCCTTTCTGGTTAGGATTTTGTTTCACCATAGTTTCGCCTGTAAATGGAATCATTATGTATTAATGTAAATTTCTCCTACTCCGCATTTGTTGAGATTCATCTTTGTGTGTCAGCTTTTTTCCCTTTTCATTGCTGAGTAGTATTCCACTGTATGAATATGCTACAGTTTAAATTTTCACTGGTCTGGTGAAGGGCTGTTTATTTTTTGGCTATCATGAATAAAGTTGCTATGAATATCTTGTGCAAGGCTTCTTGTGGACCTATGTTTTAATTTCTTTGGTAAGTACTTAGTAGAATATCCTGAATTGCAAGATTTATTTTTCTTCCTAGCCATGCCACACAGCATATGGAATCTTAGTTCCTCAATAAGGGATTCAACCTGTGTCCCCCTATAGTGGAAGGGTGGAGTCCTAACCACTGGATTGCTGAGGAAGTCCCAAGGTTGATATATATTTAATTTTACTAGAAATTGACATGCCCTTTTCCAAAGTGATCATTCTATTTTAGATATCCCAAACAATATGACAGTTCCAGTTGGTCCACATGCTCACCATTTGATATTTGCAACCTGTAATTGTAGCCATTCTCTGTGTAAAATTAGACAAAGTACTTGTGGTTCTAATTTATGGTCCCAGTCAGTGATGCTGAGCATATTTTTGTAAGCTTATTGACCAAAAGTGAAACTGAAGTTCCTGTTTTTTGTTTATGTCTCCCCTTCCACTTTATTGGAGAAATGCTGTGAACCTTTAGAGGTTTCCACAGGCTGAGTTTCACTGATCGCCTTTCAGTGATGTCAAATGACCACTTTTCTATTGTGTGTGGTCTTTTTCTTAATTAAGTGGCAAGAGCCCTTCTGGTAAGGAGCTGGCTTTAAACACATCCTTCCCCGCCCCCCCAGTTTGTCACTTTTTGCTTTTCGTGGCAGAAATTACGTGGTAGATTTGTTAAATCTCCCTTTTTTATGGCCTCTCAGTTCTGTGTCAGAACTAGGAGGTCCCAGTGAAATTTTGAAAGTACCTGGTGAAACGGCATGAAGGTGTGTAACCAAGTTGACTCTAGGGTATGGACTACTCTGAGAAACTCAGAAACATCACTATAGTACATTTAAGAATAAGCTTTTCAGATGTTCCAGACTAAATCTGAAGCCTGAGAAATTTCACAAATATATTCAGACTTGTGATTCAAAAACTCACTTCGTTCTAACTGAAATAAAGAGGCTCTCAACCTTTCTGCCACTTGATGATGTTTGGAAATAAAGACCAGAACTAATACGCTGAGTTACTTGGAATTTCTAGTAGGCTGGCTATGATTCCATCCATTTCTTGCCCCCTCAAGAGAGCAGATAGGGGAATACAGGTGGTAACATTGGGCTAATTTTTAACCTCTAATTTACAAGAACAAACTGTTGGTGACAGACCTTATTATTGAATATGAATGACACTATTATGCTGAGATGGAGAAGGAAATGGCAACCCACTCCAGTATTCTTGCCTAGAGAATTTCTTGGACAGAGGAGCCTGGTGAGCTGCTGTTCATAGGGTCGCACAGAGTTGGACACGACTGAAGCAACTCAGCATGCATGTATGCATGGGAAAAGGAAATGGCAACCCACTCCAGTATTCCTGCCAGGAGAATCCCAAGGAAAAGGAGCCTGGTGGGCTGCCATCTATGGGGTCACACAGTCAGACATGACAAGCGCTTGGCAGCGGCAGCAGCAGCAGTGTGCTGAGAAGTAGCATCCCAGGATGGCATGGCACTACAGCTATCTGGAGACTAGAGCAGGGTTTTCCACCCTACCTGCCCATTGGAGGCCTGAGTTCTCTCTTCCAAGCTTGCTTACATCCTCAGCAATGCTTACAGCTGGTCACTGGTTCTGTTTTTAACTAAGTCTACATTTCAAGGTGATGCACTCTTCGAATAAAGTTTATCTTGTATTATAAGTGTAGAACTCCTTATCAGATACTTAATTTTGATTTGGTAGATTGACATGCTTGCACAAATCTCATATACAAAAATAATGTGTTAACAAAATCAGCTGTCTTCAGGAATGGTGAGAATAAAATAGAAGACCTTAATAATGGACAATCCCCAAGCTAACAACTATCTAAGACTCATTAAGATTTGACCCAGGAGAACATTTGGGGGTTATTAGGCTAAGTTAACTAGCAAGATGCTTTACTATAAAACGTGCTACTTCTGAAATACAGTTCTTTAGAAAGGCCTACAGTTCCTGCTGGGCAAAGCTGAAATGAGGCTGTGATACAGACAGTGGCCCTGAGAGTTACTTCAAAATCAGTAGGCTATACCTGGAGTCCTTTCACAGAATGGTTAAAATTCCCTTTAAGAGTTTCATACATTTTTTTCCAACTTTCACTTTTTTACTAACAAGTTTTCAGGGTTTTTTTCATTGTTTTATAAAAAAATTGAAGTGTACTTAAAAGTGTGTTTCAGGTATACAGTAAAGTGATTCAGTTATACAGGTATATCTGTAGATATACATTATAGACATATATCCTTTTTTCCTTATAGGCTATCACCAAGTATTGAGGATAGTTCCCTATCCAAATAGCAGGCCCTTGTTGGTTATCTGTTTTATCTGTAGTAATATATATATGTTAATCCCAAACTCCTAATTTTTCTGTCCCTGCTGCTTTCCCCTCTGATGTCTGTGGGTCTATTTGTATTATATTTTGTGTACGTTTTAAATTATTTGGCTGCATCAGGCCTTAGTTGTGGCCCTCGGAGTCTTTGCTGCTCCACTGGGATCTCTGGTTGTGGAGTGCAGGCTGAGTTGCTCCATGGCATGTGGGCTCTCATTTACAGTCCCCTGCATTGCCAGGTGGATTCTTAACCACTGTGCCACCAGCGAAGTCCCTGGAAGTCTACTTTTTCTTTTTTTTTAGATTCCACAAATAAGCGATATCATGTATTTGTCTTGTATTGGTCTGGCTTACTTCCTGAGTATGATAATTTCTAGGTCCATCCATGTAGCTGCAAAATGGCATTATTTCATTCTTTTTTATAGCTGAGTAATTTTTCATTGTGTATATATACATCTTCTTTACCCTTGCATCTGTCAATGGAACATTTAGGTTACTTCCATGTCTTGGCTATTGTCAATAGTGCTGCAGTGAATATTGGGGTGCATGTATCTTTTCAAATTATCAATTTTACAACTTGACTGTAAACAATGAAAGAGCCATGTGCTGAACTACAGATCTAAGATTCTATTTGGAAATAAACTGCATTTAGGGAGTTCAGTCAAGTTCTGTAAGGCCTGACCTATAGTTGCTTGGAGTATGAAAGCACAAATTCTTAAATTTAAATAAACTTTATGTCGGAATAGTTTGAGATATACAAAAATGTTGCAAAAGCAGTAGAATTGCTATATATGACTCGCCTAATTTCCCTGTTTACATTTTATATTGCTACAAATACATTTGTCATGGTTAATGTTAATATATAACCATTGACTGAATCCCACACTCTGTTCAGATTTTATTAGCTTTTCCCTAGTATCTTTCATTCCAAGATCCCACTTTGTTAGTCTTTGTGTCTCCTTAACCTCAGTCTTTGTTTTTGATGACCTGATACTTTTAGAGTACTGGTCAGATATTTTGTTGAATGTCCCTCAGAGTTTTCTAAGGTTTTCTCATGGTTAGACTAGGTTTATTGGTTTTGGGAGGAAGAATACAAAGGAATTATTTTCACTGCTTTCACCTTATCAAGGATTCTTGTTACCAACATGACACCACTGACCATGTGAATTTTGATCACATGGCCAAAACATTGTTTCCTTGGTTACTCTAAAGTCCCTTTATTTCTCTTTCTGTATTCTGCTTTTTTGAAGCAAGTTACTAAGCACAGCCCATATTCAGAAGGTGGGGAGGTAAGCTCTACTTCTTGGAGGAATAGTAGCTACATAAATTATTTGGAATTTTTCTTTGTAGGAGATATGATACTTCTCTGCCATTTATTTAATCTCATATTAATATGGACTCATTTATTCTCTGGGTAATACTCCTACATTATTTTGCTCGCATTTTTTTCAGCTTTACTCACTGGAAGCTTCTAGTTTTCTCCTGTATACCTTTGCTATGCCTTCCTCCTTTTTTTTTTCAATAGCACTTCCTTACTTTTTGGTGTTGCAAGATGCCTCAGACCTAGAATCAGCCATTTCTCCAATGAATCCTGGTTCCTTTATTGAAGAATGGTATTATAAACCAAGCTTTGGTTTCTGATGGAAGACTGGGCATTGGATGTGCTACTGGAGTGTCAGCATCCAGACCCTCTCAGCAGATGGGGATATATGTTTGTGGACCCACCCATATACACGTACATATCTATTTTCTGTGTCCAATTGGAAAGCATGGTATTTTAAAAGTTGTAAAATGTACAAACACATTTTACCATTTTAATCATTTTTAAGTATACATTTCTGTGGCATTAAGTACATTCGTATTGTACAAACAGCACCACCACCATCCATCACCAGAACTGTTTCATTCCCCCCACCTCCCCAGTTGAGATTCTACCCATTTCTCACTTCTCCAAGTCCTCGGTAACCTTTGTTTCACTTTGTCTTTCTACTGTTTGTTTGTGAATTTAACTAGATACCTCACATAGGTGGGCTCCTATTTCTCCTTTTGTGACTGGCTTATCTCACGTCAGGGTTCATCCATGTTGTATATGTGTCAGAATTTCCTTGCTTTTTAAGGCTGACTGTATCTACTGTATTTTGTTTATCCATTCACTGATCAATGAACACTTGGGTGGCTTCAGCTTCTGGCTGTTGTGAATAATGCTGCTATGAACGTGGGTATAACCCTGCTTTCATTTCTGGGTATATATCCAGAGGTGGAAATGCTGTATTACATGGAACTTTTCATTTCTTTAGGAACTGCCATTCTCTTTTCTGTAGTGGCTGTACCACTTTACATTGCCACCAGAGTGCACAAGGATTCCAGTTTCTTTACAAGATTTTTTATTTTGATGAAGCTAACCTATTTTCCTACATTGCTTGCATTTTTGGTGTCTTATCCAAAAAAGTCACTGCCAGACCCAGTGTCATGAATCTTTCCCTCTTTGTTTAGCTGTATGTTCAGATCTTTGATCCATTTCAAGTTACTTTTGTATATGGTATAAAAGTCCATCTTAGTTTTCTTGGAATGTGCACATCTAGTTTTCCAAGTATCCGTTTTGAAAATACTATCCTTTTCCCACTGAATAGTCTTGGCACCC